CGGTTGACAGCAACGACGCAATCAACAATCGAAGCGCCTCGAGCTTTTTTGTCCTCTACAAAAACAAACGCCGAAAATCACGACCACACCACGGCACCACCCCCCACCACGCGATATCTCGACTCTGTTTCGAGCCGCAAGAATATTGCATCGACGCGACAGTCAGTCCCCCGACTCTTGACAACCGTCTGAACAAAATTGTGCGTCTTCCACTCTCCCTCCCCCCACAGCGATGCAACCCGTGACCATCTCGACCCTCGCGGTTCACATGTCTCCTGGTTGTGACTTGAGTCCCATAGAAAGACTAACAGACGCGCTGTCATTCAGGCATCCGCCTAGTGTCGCCATTACACGTCACCTCCCAATCCACTCGACTTTCGATCCTCCGCCGACCCGACCAACATGGCCGAAGAGGAGGACTTTAGCGCTCTGCCGCTACCCGACAGATTCGTCCACAAGGTCTGGAAAGTGCGCAAGCAAGCATACGAGGAAGCCGCCAAACAGTTCGAGACGACCGGTGACGAGTACGACCCAGTCTTTCGCCCCTTCATTCAGGATTCCAGTCTTTGGAAAGGTGCTGCAGCAGACTCCAACGTCGCCGCACAACAAGAAGGTCTCAATGCTCTCTGCGCCTTTCTCAAATTCGGCGGACGGGAGGGTGCCGTGCGCGCAAGGCAGCATGTCGTCACAGCCATCGTCGAGAAAGGGCTTTCGTCGACCCGAGCAGCCACCAAGGCTTCGGCCATGGAGGCCTTGCTCTTGCTCATCGAGTGCGATGTCGCCGCCCCCGTAATTGAGGACATCCTCCCCGCCCTCTCCAACAAGCAGCCCAAGGTGGTCGCCGCCTCGCTGGCCGCCCTCACGCAAATCTTCCATGCCTACGGTTGCAAGACGGCGGACCCAAAACCCGTCCTCAAGGTGCTCCCCAAGGTTTTCGGCCACGCCGACAAGAACGTCCGAGCCGAGGCCACCAGCCTGGCCGTCGAATTCTACCGATGGCTCCGTGAAGCGATGAAGCCCATGTTCTGGGGCGACCTTAAGCCTTCACAACAAACCGATCTCGAGGGCCAGTTCGAGAAGGTCAAGGAAGAGGGGCCTGCCAGGCAGGAGCGCCTGCTGCGGTCTCAGCAAGCGGCCAAGGCACGAGCACCCGCAGCCGCGGCTGGGGCGGAATATGAGGAGGAAGAGGTAGAGGAGGAGGTCGCAGAGATTGACGCATTCGACTTAGCGGAGCCCCAGGACGTGGCCAGCAAGATCCCCAAAGACTTTTACGACAATCTGGCCTCGACCAAGTGGAAAGAGAGAAAGGAAGCTCTGGAAGCGCTGTACGCTATCGTCAACGTTCCCAGGATCAAGGACGGCGACTTTGCCGAGGTCAACAGGTGCTTGGCCAAGTGCATGAAGGATGCCAACATCGCAGTTGTCACGCAGGCCGCCCAGTGCATTGAGCTGTTGGCCAAGGGGCTGCGCAGGGGCTATCACAGGTACCGGTCCACTGTCATGCAGTCCATCATGGAGAGGCTCAAGGAGAAGAAGCAGGTGGTAGCCGATGCCCTTGGTGCTGCGCTCGACGCCGTGTTCTCGACGACCGACCTCACCGAGTGTCTTGAAGACATCACGACGTTCCTCGCCAACAAGAATCCGCAGGTCAAGGAGGGCACCATGAAATTCCTGCTTCGATGCCTGCGGACGACGAGAAACGTCCCCAGCAAGCAGGAAATCGCCACCATCGTCGAGTCGGCCAAGAAGCTCCTCTCGGAGGGAAGCGAGGTTCTTCGATCAGGCGGCGCGGAAATTCTGGGCACTGTCATGAAGATCATTGGTGAGCGGGGCATGAACCCTCATCTCGAGGGCCTCGACGAAATCCGCAAGACCAAGATCAAGGAATTCTTCGAGGTAGCCGAAGTCAAGGCCAAGGAGAAGCCGAAGCCGCCACCCGCCCCGGTCGCCCGAGGACCCCCCGCCGGCGGCCCAAAGAAGATGGTGGGAGGGAAGAAAGCACCTGCAGGTGCCAAGAAGCCCGCTCCAGCCCCCCCTCCTGCCGAGCCACTCGCACCACAACCGACACCGCGCGCCGCCCCGGCCGGGAAGCTTGGCATGCCGAAGCCCAGCGGCCTCGGAGGGCTCAAGGCCCCACAGAAGCGTACCCTTGCCGGTCCCGGCGGAATGGCCTCGCCTCGCCGGGCGGCCGCCCCATCGCCCACCTACGAGGATGAGCTTCCCGACTCTCCTCCACTCAAGCCTGCAGCGCGCGCTGGTCTCGGGAGGGGTGGGCTGGCGGGCCGGTCCTTGGCCAAGCCATCCGCTCCGGCTGCTGCCTACGCCCCGCCGTCGCCACCCCCCGCCGGGCTCTCGCCAATCGACCGCGCCGAGCTGGAAGAGCTCCGTGATGCCAATGAACGTCTGCTTAGACAGCTGGAGGAGGCCCGCCACGATCGGTCCAAGCTCTCCTCAGAGATCCAGGAGCTCAAGAACCAGAACGCCGGTCTCATCGAAGACCACACCCGGGATGTTCTCTCTATCAAGGCCAAGGAGACACAGCTGGTTAGAGCACGCAGTGATGCCGAGGCAGCAGAGGCCACCAATGAGCGGCTTCGTCGTGAGCTTGACCGGCTCAAGCGTGCCTTGGGTAAGGCCGAGGCCGTTGGGACCGGCGGCGGCCCTGGCAGTCCCAGCTCCTCCCATCACGGCATGATGAGCCCGACCCACGACGACGCCGGCATCTACCGCGACGGCGGCTATCCGACTGGTGCGAACCGAAACCGCATGAGCTTCACCAGCACAATGAGCGAGGAAAAAGAGAACGGTGACGGCGGCATCCCCTACCCCCGCAATAAGCTGAGTCCCGAGATGCGATATACTGGTAGTGCAGCGAGCAGCGGGCGAGGCAGTCCGGCCAGGGGTTTCCGGCGCGAAGTCACCATGGACGACATGGACTCGAGGGTTGTCGATGGTCAGACCGCCAGCTACTCGAACAACACCGACAGGTCGGGGAGCAGGGCCGGCAGCCGAACTGGCAGCAGGATGAACGACACCCACGCAACCCAGGCCGCCCCCTCTGCTGGGAACGGGCCTGCCGGGACCGGAAACGGGGTCGAGAGCTGGAGGAGGGCCGCCGAGGTGACCAGCCAGCTGAAAGCACGTATTGAACAGATGAAGGTTTGTAGCGTCACCACCCGCTGAACCACCACATGCTGATCTTTCTCTCCAGGCACGACAGGGCCTCAGACCGTAGGGGGGTGTCGGTCTCGCGTCTTCTAAGGAATCGTTTTAGCAGCAGCCCCTTTAGGCGTCTGGATTCGGCAACGGGAACGTTTGCTCCCAACAGGTGGGGTAACTTGTGTTTGTGACAAGGACGATTGTCTGGACACGGACGCATGGTTCGGGCGTGATCTCTTTTGGGTGCATTTTCAGGGCGTCAAAACAGGACCATACCCCTCTTCTTTGGCATCTTTGCTGTATGGCGCCCCAGCGCTCAGTATTTTATGGGTCTTGTCGTTTTTATTATTGCTTTACGCCGGCGATGGGATTATGTTTGGCATCAGCGAGTATTGGCGGTTATGATCAGGGCTGGTGGGTTGAGGAATGGCCGGCGGGAGATGGGAGGATACGGGCAGTCATCCAGTGCTGGGTGACTTGCAGTGTGGATAATGTCTATATTGAATACACCTCTACCATGCATCATTTGCGTAAACTTGATGGTCTGGTTGTTGGTAAGCGAAGATAATGGAAAGGTGTGACGCGGACAATGCCTGAGTATTCGTGCCCGGCCCTGTGTGGTACAACAAAGACTTTCCGTCTAAGAAAGAACATATTCACTTTGTCCCGCAGCATGCGGACAATTGCATTCACCTACTTCAAAGTACCGAGTTGCTATAAAGCAGAATCGCATCACCCGAGAGCGCCCGCTCTTCTCCTTCTCGCCTTCTTTCCCCTCAAAGCTAGCTAGCTAGCTATCCTTCTTCCACGGGCATCTTTCGCAACACTCCTACCCAGCAGATAGACAAACGAACCTTACCAACTCACAACCATGCCATCCAACGAATCCACCACCGCCCACCTCCCGACCCAGCCCGGCCCTGGGTCCAACACCACGCCCAACCAAGGCACCGCCCAACCCGGACCCCGTACACAGCCCGACCCGTCCTCCCCTCCTCCCGCAGAGCAACCGCGCCACATCTCCAACCCAACTCCCCCCATCCCGAGACCACCTCGCCGTCTCGAGCCCCCGCGCATCGCCGCCAGGCCAAGCTGGGCGTGGACGCCCCTCCCGCTCCCAGCGAACTCGGTGCGCCGCCGCCGTCAACCCTTGCGACAGACCCCGCCTGCGACTCCAGCCTCGCGCGCCTCCTCTAGTTCGTCGACGGCGACCATTGGTGGTGGTGGTAGTACCAGGGGGTGGACACCCCGTCCGTTGCCGCCGAACTCGGTGCATAGGCCGAGGGTGTTGAAGGGGCAGGGAGTGCGTCTGCTGCCGGCGGGGGGGCTGGAGTCGGGGACGGGGATGGGATATCGGGTGGTGGGGTTTAGGCCGAAGTATGAGGGGGTGGAGAGTTTGCCGCTGCCGACAGAGGGGTTGAGGAGGTAAAGGGGAGAGGGGGGAGAGGGAGGGAGGGGCGGTGGTACCAGGCGTATCATAGAATCAAATACAAGTATTGGGTTTATTGCAAGCAGGTACATTTTCGGTGTCTTGTGAGGATTGTGACGTTAGAGCTGGTGGGGGGATATCCGGGTGGTTGTTGCTCATCATGCCAAGAGAGAGTGATACTGCGTCCGCGGCTTCCTCGTGGTTACCTTTTGGCAAGGTGGTAATGTATGGAGCTGAAGAAGCTGACCTTCGCTTCATCCAAAAACGCCCAACCTTGAGGCTCGGCATGTCTCCATGTCTGTGATCAGATCGCGGAAAGATGCCGAAGCTCTGCATACCCGTCTCGAGTGGATCCCGCTTGGAGCTAGACCATGACCCGTCTTACCGGCCTCTGCTTCCATCAAATCGTCTAGCGTGATTCGTCTAGTGGTTAGGATACTTGCTTCCCATCTCATGTGGATTAGCAAGGGACCCGAGTTCGAATCTCGGATTTCGCAATTGCCTAGAACTTTCTTTTTGCTTTTGGTTGCAATTTTGCTGAGTTGTTTTGGGTTCTTTAATGCTTTCCCCTCTTCGATTGTACTTTTCAACACTCTGGGATACATGGTAGCACAGGACATCTGCGTTGCCAGGTACCAATAGCCAAGATCAAAAACCCCTATTCCCGGTATTTACAAAACATGGGCCTGTCCACCATCATCTATGTCTAACAACACACTCCACCCTGCCTAGCCCGTGAACCTAAGCAGGCCGACAACCACCCCGATCTGCCTCTTACAGCTAGGAACAAGTCGGACACCTCGTCTTGTCATTCGGCGTCTCTGGGTACCGATCCTGTCCATACGTATCATTGAGCGTCACCGCCCCCACCACCGCCCCAGACTCCAGCCTCACATACGTTTCCACCACCACCTCCCCCTCGGCATCCCTCGACACCACCACCTGCCTCGCCCCCCTTATCCAGTTCCCATAGCCCCCATACCCCGAGTGCTGCCCAAAGCACAGATTCACCCCCTTCCCCTCCACCTCCATCCCCGGCAACCGCCCCTCCCACCGATAGCACCACGTATTCCCATGATCGTGCCCCGAAAACAGCGCCACCATCCCCTCGGTCCCCGCGACCGCCGCCATAAACGGCCCGTCCTGCCCGCCGTACGCGCACGTCCCGTTATCCACCCCGTCAGCGCACCACCCCTGCCCCTGCTGCGCAACAGGCGCGTCGTCATCGATCCCCGGCTCCCGGCGGGGGTTAACCCCCCGCTCCTGCGCAGCAAGAGACGCGTTGGTGGGGATATGCACAAACGCGAGTGCGGGGATGGGCGTCCCACCGGCGGCGTCGACGAGCGCGGCGTTGGTGGCCTGGAACCACGAGACGACCGACTCGTCGACCCAGTCGGGCTGGCCGACGAGGGCGCCGGTGGTGGGGTCGTGCTGCTGGTGGAGGTGGCCGCCGCGGGAGTCGAAGAACCAAAGGAGGAGCGCGGGCGGGCAGGAGGCGGTGCAGGAGGCGGTGCAGGAGGCGGGGTAGACGGGGAGGTAGTAGTTGGAGACGCCGGCGGTGGAGGCGGAGACCATTTGCGTGGTGCGCGCGTTGGGCCAGCGCTGCTCACGCGCGAGGAGGGAGTCGCGGGAGAGGTTGTAGCTGCTGTCGTGATTGCCGTACGTGGACGCCCAGGTGAGGTTGCGGGAGAGGAGGGGGGCGACGATTTGGTCGAGGTAGTGGGTGCCGTTTTCGAAGAAGACGTTTTCGCCTGTGATGAGGTCGCCGTTGAGGACGACGAGGTTGGTGGTTGGTTCGGCGTCGAGGATTTGGTTCATGACTTTGACGGTGTTGAGGTCTTGTTGGGAGCCCCAGGTGGTCCAGGAATCTGGTGGTGTGAGCGTCCTTTGGGGAAGGGGGGGGGAGAGGGGTGGGGTGTTAGGGGCGGGAACATACTCTCTCCAAAGTGTAAATCTTCGAAAATGGAGAGCTGAAAGGTTCCGTCGGATTGGAACTGGAGCGGTCCAAAGATCTGGTCGGCGGCCGAGGACTCTGACTGCCGCTTCCAGCAAACGAGCTTGGACAAGGCAAGGAATCCGGCGAAGAGCATGACGAAGGCAAGGACATGCCGCCGAAGGGCTCGCCGGTGGCGAATAGCACCATTACGCCCGTCTCCCTGATGGGGGAGTGTTATGTAGCCCTTCATCTTTTCCTTGTTCATTCTCATGCAAAATCAGAAATGACACGCTTGAGTCCCGAGGGCCGAGGTCTCCGTTGATGGTTTTGCTGCTGTCGCGGCATCGCGAGAGGAGTAGCAAAGACACCTCAGCCACACATTACGTATGCAGCAATGGGAAGGGAAATTTCATGGGAAGATGTATGCTTAAGATCGAGATTTTGAGCGCCTCCAGTTGCAAAATGGCATGTATTGGATGTTACGAGGAGTGACGTCCGTGGTGTTTTGAGGAAGCGAAAATCTGCGGGGTAAATCTGTGGAAGTGGGCTTGCGACGCGACGCGCTGTTGTCCCCTGATGCTGACATGATTTCAGCATTTCAGGGGCTTTGGCCGCCAACTTCATTTAGTCACACTATTCCACCGCGTTGATGGCGGCCCGGACTGATGTTGGTCTGTAGGTCGTTGAAGAAAAGAACATCATCGCTTTCTCGCGGTGCCAAGACATCTTCAATTTTATGCCTGGGTCCCCATTCAGGCGCCCGGGAATGGTACTTCCCCAACCGTTCGTCAGCTTCTGTCCTCCTTCCCGTAACCCAGCCCCCCAGAAAAGCTTGATAATGGAGGCTCAGCTCTAGCTGACTTCTTCCTCTGTATTTTTAGCATGGCCAGCTTACTTCCTCCGCCGCAGCCTTCTACTCCATCCCTCCTCCAGATCCTTTCTCCGGGGTGAGAACTGACGATCTCCCACACCTCAACGCCAAGATCATCCCGCTGGAACCCTTCCTGCATCCGCCCGTCAACCCGCCGTCCATCGGCGCCCAGACCAACAGCCGCGCACCACCGTTACACCAACTCGACGTCCCAAGCGAACAATCACCACTTCCTCGCCTATTTCGTGCTGCTCCGCCAAAAGCACCCCAAGCCGGGCAGCCTGAATCCCCGCCGCCTGTCAGCATCGAAGCGGCGGCTGCTGTCTTCAGTCCCGAGGGCCTGGATGACCACCGATGACCGGGATGGGGTCATTTCCCTTTTCCGGGTTAATTGTAGATTGCCTCGCCCCCTCTATCAGCCCGTCAGCGACGACAGATCACGGCGCGCGCGCGCAGCAATCCATTCCCACCGCTCTTTTGCCTCCAAGCATCACCATGGAAAAAAAACCCCGCAAAACGGCAAGGGAGGAGGTCATGTTTCGTTCCATTCTCGCGACGGGAAGAACAAGATCGCCCATCGCCAGCCACCATCACTACCACCACGTGCCCCCCCCACAGGCCGCCCAAACGCCATAGCTATGGACGCCCGATCGATCCCAACCACGCCCAACCGCATTGCGGTTGGCGCCTCCCCTCCTCCCGTCCGTGTTGTCGCATGTCGACGGGGCGAATCAATCACACAGTGGCGGGGCACCATTCCTCGCCCGTCTTCGGTTCACACACCATCTGAAACGGCGAAGCGGTGACGATCAATCGGAGAATTTGGTTCCATCCCTTGCGCTGCAGACCACCACACACACCGCACCGAGAAACAGGGCACGCACGCACGCGGCAGTTGCATCGATGATGCTTGATGTGTGCATTCATGGCAAATACCACCTTCTCGGTAGGGCAGTCGAATCGCAGCATGATGCATATTGGGAATGATTTGACTTTTTCCGTGTGTTTTTTTTTTGGCTTGTTTCCGCACGAATTCTATGCAGATTTACACAGTCCCCCCATGGCTCGCCGTGATGCTAATAATACTCACGGCCAAAATATGGAAAGACGAAACAAAAGCTGTCTTGCGCAGGGATCCATCCATCCCGGCGACGATCAATCAGATGTAGACGTAGCAGAACGGCGAGCCGCCCACCGTGTCCATCAGCTCCTTGATGGGGCGCGTCGTCGGCGTCGGCGGCTTGATGTCGATGAGGTCGTTGACCGTCGTGTTGAACAGAAGGCTACTTGCAGACTACAAGGACTGGACCGAGCCAGCCGCAGCCTACACGCAACTGGTCCCGGAACACATCGGTCTTGGGGATGATTTTCACTCTGGTGCGCTGAAACGGCCGGAGACAGCGATGGAGGCGAGGCAGAAGCCCCGAGTCGTACTGGGCACGCCTCCACGATGTTTAGAATCACGGCAATGGACACGCAGTGGTCAAAAGAATGGTGCAAATCAACGTGTCGTAACTGTCTACCTGCCCAACATGTGCTAAAGGAGAGAAGCCCCGGTGGCCTGAGATGATGAAAAATGAACGCAACGCTGCCCACATGGCCTCCACTGCCATTGTCCTCCTCAATGCGCACTCTGCACCCCAACTCATTACACAGAGATGTCGAGTGACTGCAACGGCAGAGGATAAGAAAAGGGGACGGGTGCTACTAGGTCGGACCCTAGTACAATTCATGGCTTAATTTCAAGCCGACCCAACAATTTAGCCATGGAGTTCGTGAAGGCTTGGTGTGGTCTTTTCTGGTAGTAGGGTACTTGGGGGTTCGACTCCTTCCCTCGAGGGAACCGCAGTCGGCGTGTTCAAGTTTGTGTCGATCGAAGGAGCCCAGGGATTAAGTGGTGCTCGCGATCCTTGGTTTTTGTTGACCATGGCCATCTACCGAGGTGTGGTGGCTGCCACGTGCGTTGGGATGCACAAGCAATGGAGGGACTAAGAGGCGACGACTCGGACTCCGGGGTCACGTTGCGGCGGGCAAGCAAACCCAGTAGACTTAATCTCCCGCGCATCGGCCGTCCGGCGTGGAGAAGGCTCAAGCCCATGAATTGTGTGCGCAGCGTTTTCGGGCTCAACTCTCGAATTCTGTAGTCGATATTCTGCGTGACAGCGGCGAGGTCGAGAAACGTCTCCATATGAACTCCTCAAGGCAGGAAATAGAGGTCAAAGTTGGCAGCTGGCGCCTGGGAGATGCGGGAGGGTCACGTAGTCTGATAAATGTTTGCATTGCCAATGCTTATGAACTTATTTCGGATATCGGTCCAGGCCAGATCGGGACCGCAGCAATTCATCTGGGAGCCTTTTGAGTCTGGGGGACAGACCAAGGAGGAACGAAGCCCAGGAGAGCATTTCAAGATGTCCGCCAAGAGGAGGTAAGCACTAAGCAGTGCTCTCGGACTGTCCAGTGGTTGCATCGTGGTGACGGCATTCGGACATATGTAAGCGAGTGGCGTCAACCTGGTTGTCTGACGCGGTTGCGCGGGTAGCCACGCGTTGTGGAAGGTGAGACATCTCCGCCTTGGAAGCCACATGGACGACGCCGACACGGCCAAGATGTGAAGGAGATGAGAGGCGCTTTGGCGCTGGCGTTGGTTCCGTTGCCGGCTCGACTTTGGTTCGCGGCCATTGCCAGTCAGG